TAAGATGTAGCCAACGCCCAGCCAGATTGCCCACCCCCATGGTCTCTGAAGCTGGCACCCTTAATTTAAGCTCCAAAGACTTTAAGAAGATGCTTGTGGTATATAATGAACATAAGCCTCCTTACACAAAAAGCACCAGCTCCCAAACCTAACCCAGTGGCATTTCCTGATTCCAAATTTAATGGATACCATTCAAATTTGGGTTTTGGCTATTCATGGTAGTTAAGCTGTAACCTGGAATTTTGTGGGTATTTTATGTTCTAAATAGAGTACACAGCACAGGCAAAATCTTTCCCAGAACACTGCAAAATGCATTCATCAACATTTACAAGGTTCCAGTGCCCTGCTCAGGATATTTGCCTTGCAGCTTTTCAGCATTTCCAGTGAAATAAACCAAAACATGCAAATTTCATTTCTTCTTCTTGTTCTAAAATCTAAAGGAAATAACTTCTATGCATGATCTTAGTCAAAAATAAAAAATAAAATCCAAGAATTGGTGAAAAGAAACAGCTGTTGAAGAGGTGGCCACTTTGTTTGATATTGAAAATACTCTGATTGGACAATGAGTCAGAAAAACTTTGAAGTCCCATTGATTTAACTTTGAGAAATATAAAATAAAACTATTGGATTTAAACTAGTTTCAATATAGCTTTTAAAATGTTTTACACATTACCTTAGATACAATGCAGATTGCGATCAAAGTCTAGTGAAAGTTAATGGGATACTGTAGTATTTAACCATAATAGGAGTCAAAGATATAAATATGGAAGAAACCTAATCCATGGGATTAGTCATGATTGTTAGTAAATACATTGTAGGCATATAATCGTCTACCTCTAATCACTCTAAAGTTTCAAGATGGGAAGATCTGGAATAAGAACACAGGTTGAATCACATGCCCGTGGCTACATGGTAATGACTAATTGGTTATAAAGATCATGCTTCAGAAGCATAACTTTCGATGAAAATTTCTGTTGTGGATACCTTTTCTCTCTGTTACTACAATTAAGTACAGTACAGCTTGTTAGAACAATTTGATTACAACTTGTGTATCAAAGCAACTAAGGAATGTGTCTGCTCCCGCACTATGAAGGATACTTGTGTACCTTTTAATTACTATGTCTTCTTATCAGCTGTACAGGTAGTTCTTGCTTAATTATGTTAATCAGGACTGGCAACTCCATCACTAAGGGCCGGGGTTATAAAGCATGATGTGTGTGATTGTACCATCTTACAGCAGTTCCAGTTCTGATTGCTGTTGTTAAGTGACTCCAGAATGATCACTAAGCACAATGGCAGGTGGTCAACATTTGTGACCTCTTGCTGACTTCTCATTGATTTTGCCCATTGGAAGCAGCAGGAAAGGTCACAAATGGTGGTGACAGTAGGACACTGCAATGTTGTAATAGCAAGCTGGTTACCAAGTGCCTGAATCATGAGCATATGACCATAGGGATGCTGTCATAAGGACCTGTCATAAGTCCCCCTCATTCAGCACTTCAGTCACTGAACAAGTGATCATTAAGTGAGAACTACTTGTACTGTAACTGAGTGCCCTTGGTTAATTTCCTGTATAAGATAATGCAGTTCTTGTTCGTGGATCTTGTGCAAGAAGCCAGTGACTTGGTATAACTCCTAGCTTTGGACTAATAACATGATTGTTTGGAACATTTGGCATTCAGACCAAGACATTTGGCATTTCTTGGTGTGCCAGAAAGATTTTCCACTAGAAAGGAAACAGCAATATTCCCTAGAGAAGGGGGAGGGGGGGAAATCACAAAACCTACATCATGCAGTCATAATGCAAACTCCACCATGATAAACTTGCATCCCAATGTCTGATGCAAATATCTAAGCATGTTTTTTGCATGATGCAATCAATGCACATGTATCATTGTGATATAATCTTGGTTTGATGCAGACCTTTATGCTGCTAAACCCAGACTGCTTTTAGTGGTAAAACTGGCAAAGTTTAAAGTATGCTATCCCAGCAGTCTGCATTAAGGCAGAATGTATACTCACATTCAATTACAAATGCCCTATAGTTCAAATTGGAGAAAGAAAGGGATGGAAATATCCCTAGGAATCCTGTCCCCACACTGAGTTTTCCTTTCATTCTCAAAATCTGAAACGGCAGCAATAATTTAATATTACAGATGAAATTTTAAAGGCATTTGTTATGGTTACAATTTATAAACCAGAATAACAAAGAACTCTGAAAGGAGAGAGCAAAGAAATGCTCTCTGCCTTCCTTAAAATTACCCCATAACAATATAATAAAGAGCATCAAGTTAACCCATTTTGATTGATGGCATAGCTCTCCGTGACTCAAAAACCATATCTAATATCCAGTCAGTGTTTACACATAACAAAATCCATACAAGTCACATAAACATTCCCTTATAGAAACTTTCCCTGATTGATATCCATTTCAACATATTTTGTCTCTTTCCTCAAACACAATAATATATGAAATGGATATTATTTGGCTTCAGTTAGTAGCTCTAGGCTGTTCTTATTTTGTTTCCTAGCTCAGACAAAAGTAATTTCTCTTCCCTCCCCCACACCCTGAAATGGATTCATTGCCATTTCCTTAGATAAAGGTAACTTGAAAGGATATAAAGATACCAGAAAACATGTTAATAATTGCTCCAAGGTAACAATGAATCCATGATCTGTTTTGGTGCAGATGCTTGCATAAATAATGATCATAATTAACTTGAGTCTATCTGGGGGGATTTTTTTAGAAATGTGATCTTCTAACAAATAAAAACTTGACAATAATGAATATGTTTTGTGTTTGCCCCTCACTATGGATTCCCAAAGATGTGAGACTTTATACAGCCTTTCTCGATGTTGTTGAATATACCTTTAAGCAATTCTGTCAGTAGTCAGGGATGCAGAAAGCTGAAGTTGAGAATCATCTGGAAATCCACAGAATCTGCTGTTCTATTTTTATATTTTGGTTTGATTCTGGATTATTATAAAAAAAAGGGCCCACGAAAGCATCAGGTATATGATGCTTCCTCATAGAGACTATTAAAAAGTTATAGCAAGGTAATTCTAATAATCTTTCTAACCTCGGAATATTGAATTATTAGTTGGCTGATTCTTGTATATTCCAAGAACTACCATGTTTTCTCGAAAATAAGACTCGGTCTTATTTTATTTTGCTTCCAAAAGAGGCATCAGGTCTTATTTTTGGGGGATATCTTACCTTAGGACTGCCACAGCCAGGCATCCCTTGCCCCGACCCCTGTCGCACCTCTGCCTGAGTTTTTCTGCTGCCACTTGCAACAGCAGGCCACATGATTTGTCATGCCGATCATGCCACTGTCGCAGGTCATGGCAGGAGTGCACATGGCTTGTGCTGATCACACCACTGACATCCCTTGCAGCAGGAGGCTGCAAGGCTCATCATGCTGCTCAAGCCACTGCCGCCACTCACAAGCGGCAGCATCAGCACAATCAGCGCAATGATCCTTGTGGCCTCCTGCCGTGAGAGGCTGCAGAAGAACTTGGGCAGCAGCGTGACAGGTGTTGGGGCGTGGGAGACCTGTCTACAGCAGTCCTAAGGTAATCAGATGCGGGGCACATGAGGCAACTCCACCCCTCCTCTGCCTAGCTTGATTTTTACGCATGAGTTTCGCCCAAAAACTAGGCCTTAATTTTGGGGTAGGGCTTATATTGGGTGCACGTGTAAAAATCATGCTAGAACTTATTTTCAGGATAGATCTTATTTTCTGGGAAACACGGTAAAAAAGTCAGTTATGATCTTGCTGTGGTAGCTCATGTTTTGATCACCACACATCTGGATTACTGCAATGTGTTCTGTGTGACTGCCTTTGAAGACTACTCAAAAACTTGATTGTCAGTAGGTTCCTGGAAGCAGTTCAAAGTGTTGGTTTGATCTATAAAGCCCTATATGGCTTGGCACCAGAGTTCTCCACCGTTCTCCACCATCTCCTCAAATTTGACCCATCCAGGGTGTCTCTCCTGGGGAAAACTTTTAGTAATGTCCCACTTCTTGGAAATAAGGGGAGGAAGCAAGGCTTGGAGGCAATGTTTCTCATGATGTCCCTCGTCCTCTCAGAGGCAATATTGTTTCCAACTTTAACAATCTTCCAATATGGACAAACCAGGTTACTCCAGAGAGTTTTGGGATGAATTATCTGAACAGAGTTCTGCTACATGATAACTTAATTTTAACTTTATTTTACAGTGAACACTGTTTTATTTTATAATGTGCAATAAAATGTATAATATTTTAACCTCCAAGAGTCATAAGAAGTAGCAGTATATAAATTAATTAAATACGTGCCTGCATACATACATACATAAACTTGAGAAGCCTTTTCTTTTGAGAAACAAAAGTCCTTTGCATCTTCCCTCTTTGCTTTGTCTTTTATTTTATAATTATTAAATTCCAAGCAATACATAAGTCAATCAATTCAGTTTATTTTGACTGAAGATCAGAAATAATTAACAGTTCCTCCCAATAAAATAACCAATAAAATATGACCAGGATTTTTTATTGATTTTTATTTTAGAGTTTTGGAGTATTGTTTTTACTGTTTTGTGTGTTGCCCAGGATTGTTGTTACAATATAAGCATCTACACACTTTAAGTATTTTAAAATAAATGCATAAAAATAAATACATGTATATACCAAAAAATTAATTATTGTCTAAAGAGACTCTTGAGAGCATTTCACTCAATATAAATAAATAAAAACAACTAAGGGCAGTTATTTCCAGTTGTTGACCACTGCTGTGCAACATATTGCAATAATGTGAGTAACAAAAGTTTTCTTGTCCGATAGAATAAAATTAATGTAAAAGTCATCAGACCAATTTGGCACAAATGAATGACAAAGAAAAGACAAAGTTCCTCCAGCTTCTCAGAGTAAAAACACCAAAGTGGCAGCGTGTGAAAGATTAAAGCACAAATGTCAGAGCCTGTTTAGTTCATTTCTCTCAATGACATTCCTAAATGAAAGTTTTGCTAGCATTAAAATAAATGTCCTTTCCCTTTTTTAAAAACAAAACAAAACAAAAATCCATTATTCAAACCAATATCAAGTTTGTTGTGACATTGCTCACAATGAAATCCTTCTGACAAAACAGTATGATCTCACAATATATATATGTATATATATTTTAAAAAAATCCCACTAGGGGGAAAAAGTGGGAGGGAGAAGAAACTCAAAAGAGCAGCACCGAAGTCAGCAACAACATCACTTGTAATGAGCCTTTGCCTCTCATGAGAGAGAGACTATAATGTGCCTTTCTTGCTGCTGGGACTTTGCTGGGAACATCTGAGGTAAAATAGAAAAGGTGCAAAACAGAACTGTGTCTCTTGCTTGTATCTGACTCATTAGACTAAGCCTGCCTGAAGATTATGGTGCAGAAAAACTCAAGAAAAGTAACCAGGCACTCTGGTTGAAGAAAAAAGAATTTAAACAATTCCACACTTCCATCAAGGTAATATTAATTGTTTCTTTCTAATGCCATTTGAGATCAGTTTGGAGGAAAGGGTAGTGGGAGGGGGAATGGAGGGAAAGAGAAATGTATATTTGGGATGATTTAGTGGTGGAGGTTATGTCAAAGGGGAGATGCTCAAAGGAAAGAAAATGTTCTACCAAGTCTTTGCCTAATTGATGTATCCAAAGTTTGCAAACACAGATCAATGCTCTCCCAAAGTTTTGATAAATATTACCTGATGCCCTCAAGAGTAGTAAGCATCTGTGTATTTTCTTAGATATGGATTTCTCAGTTCCTCCTTGCATTTTCTCCAATAAGCAAATGTGTTATTTCAAAACTGGACAACTATTGTGACAGCTGATGCATGATCCTTATTTATTTTCTATAGGAAAACCCTCCTGAGAAACCAGTCTGTATATATGAATTGCTACCATCTCTCTTTCTTTTCCTTTCTCCCTTCCTTCCCCCACCAAAAACTTTTGTGCTGAAGGCTACAGGGTCTTTAACATTTTGAAGAGCACTAGCATTATCCAGCCTGTCACAGCAGCTCCCCTTCTCCCCGAGAGATTAGATTCCTAATAAATTTCTAAAATGTGGTTTGTGTCAGGCTAGTAGCAACATGTGCAGAGTGCTCCAAGTAAAATTTCAAAAAAAGAAATAATCTGCCTGAAGATGGTTAGCTGCTATTAGCTGCATCCTTTGAGCTACAATGAACACATTTCAGATTTGGAGAAGAAATTGGGAAAATATCTTTAGGGTGGTCTTCCTTCCTTCCTTCCTTCCTTCCTTCCCCAAATGGTAGATCAGAAATATCACCATTTATTAACATGGCAAACTGAAGCTAAAGTCACAAGGTTTTCCCCTGAAGATTCAGCAATGATAATTAATGTGTATGATACATATGTTTGTCTATGGAAGGCAAGGTGAGTTCCTGCCTTCCTTGTTAAGGCAACCCAGAGTTTATCTCAGCTTTTACAATTACATCCCAATTAGGTGAAACAAAAGATACTGAAGTCTGATTACTCAAGTTGCAAAAAAATGACTTCATCTCTTTACCCTATATCATATTTCTGAATCTGATCTGTTACTAAACTTTGAACAGATTCGTTTCTCATTTTAATTTGACAAATTGTTTGGGAAACTCAAGAATGCTGGAATAAAAAGGAACTGCATCTTTCTCTTACTGCTATCAAAATGACAATATTAGGCGAGATTGCACAGTGGTGATAACACTAAAAAAAACAGCCTTCACTGAATAATGAGGATTTGGGTTGATCTAAAGCAGAGGACCATGTCACCTGGGTTTAAATTCAGCCCATAGTTTCAATAAACATTTAGCCAATATTTATCCTGGTATTGTTTTAAAGTTCTTCAGTTTTGTTTTCATCCTCTCTTTGCCTTCCTAATTTATGTTTACATTTTATTTTTATCATGCTGTGAGTTGAAAGTTCATCACTATTACATGATGAAAAGGATTCTGTTTCCTTTGTAGGAGGTTCAAAGCAATCTTATTAGGGTTAAGTAATTTTCTGAAAGAGAGCCAATTTGGTGTAGCAGTGAAGATACCAGACTGGAAACCAGGAGAGTCTGAGTTCTATTCCTGCCTTAGGCAAAAGTCAGAGGGATAACCTTAGGCCAGTTACTCTCTCTCAGCCCTAAGAAGGAGGCAATGGCAAACCACCTCTAAAGAACCTTACTGTCAAGTGCCAGGGAAACCAGGAGACCCAGGCAGTTCAAATGGGCATAAAGATTTTTTGCAAGCTTAAAACTCTCTACAAGAATCTGAACTACTAACAGGCTAAGCAATTTGGCGGCAGATAAGGAATTCAAGGTGGGCTGGACTTAGATCTCTTTGGATGTGAAGGGACTCATGACTGATGACGTGCTTGACCCCTTCCTTAGGACTAATTCAGGCAGTTTCAAAATCTGGCTCAAAGTCACTCCCCCTTGCCCCAAAAATAAAAACACAGACCTTTCTGAAAGTTATTTCAAACTACTCAGTTTACAGTATACATCAAAGATGGACTCATGTCAATTACATTCCTATTTATCCTAACTTTAAATTTTTCAATTTAATTTTTATGAATCGAAACTTGTTACTCAGAAGTGTATTTTATACATGTTCAAAACTCACATCTGTTTGTTTATTAAAACATCACATAAAATCAATTTATTAGAATAAATTATTTTATTAAATTAATTCCACATTAGCATAAAATCATAAAAGCTTAGCCTTTGTTTGAGGATGAAATATATTCCATGATAAAATGTATATTTCACTTTCTCTATTTCACATTCTCTATGCAGACATTCTAATAGAAAATATGATGCCTGAGGTACACCTACAAATGCTTTACCTTATATCTTATTGGTAACTGACAAATTTTCATTTAATTAAACTAACGTAGCTAAGATAGTGGAGAAGATTCAGAGCTGAAATATTCATTGCTGGTAATGAGAGTATGATAATTAGCATAGTACTCAGTGGACTTCCACGTTTCTGAGAAGGAAGGAAGGAATCCCATGTTTGATCTCAGCAAAAGAGATGTTAGGAAGAAGCAGGACCATTGACTAATGGAGATCCAGGTAAATAAGAGTAGAAAGTAAGCTGCTTTGGGAATGACCAGGGAAGCTGGGCACATGAGAAAGATGATGGGAAGAGTTAAGAGACCTGGAGGAATGAGGAAATGCAAGAGAAAGAGTAGAACACTAAATAGACTTTGGGATGTCTACTTTGTGTGAGAGAGGGGGAAAGAGAAAATGCACATAAGATAAATGATTAACCCTAATGTGGGTAGAACTTGTAAACAGAAGTGTGCCTAAGATATAGGGTGGGCTTTTTTGAATAGCAATGTTGAACAGGGTACAGGTTATCCTCATTTAGTGACCACAATTGGGACCAGCAATTTGGTTGTTAAGCAAACTAGTCACTAAGTGAAACCATGACTGCGCTTATGATCTTACTTCCGCTTTTCTTTGCTTTGTTGTGAATGCAAGGATTGGTTGTAAAGTTACTTTTTTATCTCTGTCGTAACTGTGAATGGTTGCTAAATGAGGCAGACATAAAGTGAAGTCTATCTGTATGGAATTTTGGATTCAAAGAAATGGATTTGTGCTTCAGGACATGCCTGATGGCATTGAAAACCTGTTTTCTATGAAACAGATTTCTGTTTGAGTAAAAAAAAAAGTGATCTGACACATCTGGAAAGTGCCAAACTGCTGTAGGACAATATATGTTTGCTGAGATATTGGTATCAAGCCATGAAGGATTTGATATCAGGTCTGGTGGATACAAAAATTCCTGTCCATAATTTTATGCCACCCCAAAACTGAGGAATGCAATATAGGATATTATACGGATATCAAAATATATGGCAGCATTAGTATCCCTAAACAACTGCCATTAAGAATTGCTACGATTTCCTGTGGATTTAGTCTTAAGTACCACCAGTCACCTAGCAAAGTGTCAAAAACTTGATGATCAAAAAAAAGGAAAAAAGTAATAAAGTTACAGGTAGTCCTCGACTTACAACAGTTCGCTTAGTGACTGTTCGAAGTTACAATGGCACTGAAAAAAGTGCCCCCCAAGCCACAGCCGAGCAAGACAACTGCCTGCCCACCCGGCGGCGCTCTTCCTCTTGTCCGAGGTTTTCATTGTTGTGAGCATTTCTGTTGAGGATTGGCAGCGGGGGTGGGGTGGGGGGGGGTTTGGTTTTTATTTCCTTCATCTGCTGGGTGGTTGCAGCATGTTTTGATCACTTCACATGACCCTGGGACACTGTGACCATCATAAATATGAATCAGTTGCCAAGCATCTGAATGTAAAGCACAAGACCCTGGAGATGCTGCAACATTCCAGCTGATCAGCGCTTCTTCTGGGCTCAGCAGAAGCATCAGGATCAGCGCCAAGCTCCAGCTGGAGCCTGGTGCTGATCCTGGTGCTTCCGCTGAACCCTGACAGCCCTGCAGCTCCAGCCATCTTTCGTTCAGGCTTGTGCGGTGCTGCCATTGGTTCAGCTCATTCCCCTCCCCCGCTACCACTTTTCTAGGATGATCGCGTACCACCTGCCAGGTGCCAATGTACCACAGGTGGTACCCGTACCACTGGTTGAAAAGCCCTGCCCTACAGTCACCCAAGTAATCCTTAAAACCTGTCTTAGTTCTGTCTATTCATTGGCTGATTGAACCACATTTTCATTTTTAAGAAAAGTTCTTCCCAAGGTTTTAGGCAAGTAACTACGAGCTGAGTTATCATAAAACAAGAAAAGAAAGAGGTACTAATCAATAGAAATGCTAAAATGTTTAATTTCTCTATAAGAAAGCACCTGCCTTTGCAAAAAATATTTCCACTGTTACTAAAGCAGCCTAAACTTTGTCTTTGGTGAGTTCCCAATATCAACCAGAGAAAAATCCTTGTTATGTATCTTTAGTGTACTAATAAAAGCCAAAGGGAATTTTAAAAAATTGATTATGTTGCCATCAAGTCAGTGCGGATGGTTAACAACCACATAGATAGATCTCCTTCTCTAGGGTAATATTTCTCCCACTTGGGTCTTCAAGCCTTTCAATACTTATATCCATTATTTCATTAATTCGGTCCATCTATCTTGCTGCTGGTCTTCCTCTTCTCTTTCCTTCCATCTTTCCCAGCATCCTAGACTTCTCAGGGGAACTGGGTGTTTGCATAATGTGTCCAAACTATAAACATTTCAGCCAGGTCATTAGTGCCTCAAGTGAGAAGCCTGGATTGATTTGTTTTATGATTTGTTTGTTTTCTTGGCTTTCCATGGTATTCCCAGGAATCTCCTTCATCACTAAACTTTAAAAGCATCAATATTTTTTCTATCTTATTTCTTCAAAGTCCAACTTTTGTTTCCATAGGGAAAGTCATTGCCTACAAGATTTTAATCTTTGAAAATGTAGACACATCATGGCATCTGCATGATCGTTTCCAAGGGTTTCATTGCTGCTTATGGCATATTTCTTGAAAGCCATAAGTA